AAAACCATAATTAACAGAGTATTACTTTTATTGCAGACAAAACCATATGCCATTGTTGAAAAGAAGCCCAGAATATTCCCAGTAAGTCTTAAAACAGCTCTGATTTTTCTTTTTTTTCATTATTTTTCTTTCTCCTTTCCCTCCGCAAGTGATTGTTTGACTAAAATGGTCCTTCCTTTTCACTGCCAGTTCAAGTGCATGTTTTGTATATTCTTTTTTTATTTTTAAAAAGGAGGAAATAGTGTGAGGTAGCAGTTACAGTTGAAAATGGGACGTGAGCACATTTCCTTTCAAACTATCTAAAAAACTTGTATGACCTTTGTAGTCCTAAAGTGAACTGAAGTAGGCATCCTGTTTTTATGTAGGGTTAGGGCTTAGGCACACACCTGAGCAGACACCTGAGCATAGTAATAGCAAGTGAATTCCTGTTACTATTTCCAAGCTATCATTACTTATGGCAGTTTGACCTTAACATCTCCATCTATGAATTTAAAACCTGTTCATGTATGCTTAAACTTTATATGAATGTATAATTATCCTAATTTAAAATGAGTCTTTTTAGCATTAAAAGATTACACAGTAAATAGTCAATTGGTACTTTTACTGGTTGTGAGGTTATTGTTTAACATAGAAAAATACATGTTATGTTTTTGTCACAAATAATGAACTATCATCAATGTCTAACTTTTATAATTTTGAAAAAAACTCATGTTGATTCTTGCTTCAGTCAAATGACAGTCACAGTAATTCCTCTAGTACAACAGAAGGGAATTTTAGGGAGAACCACCAAAATTGGCTAACCTTCCAGTTAGAACTCTGCTTTAGGAAGAAGTAGTAGGGGATTTCTTCTGTATTTCATTATGTATAATTGATGTGTTAGGGCCTAGGTAGTCTCAAAATAGGCAATTATCTTACTGGTTTCACCAGTTGGGTAATTTATATATTCTTCCATTTACATATTTGTTTATTATTTATTTATTTTGCCATTACTGGTCAAGGGAAAAGAAGAAGGGCTCTCATTAGAAGACCACATAATACTTCCATAGCATTTCTCCTACTGTACTTTTTGCCACTGTGGTTCTTTTTATTTCTGTGCCATTGACCTCTTTGAGAAGCTTCCCATTTGAGAACCTGAAGAATGCTTGTTTGTACACAGAATAGAATAAGCAGTAAGAAACATATCCTCAAACCTCCATGGCTTAACAAAACAAAAGTCAGTTTCTTACTGATATCACAGACAATGTGGAGCAGGTGCTATTCCTCAATCTTATAGTTATGCCATCTAGAATGAGGCTTTCAAGATCATGTTAGGAGAAGACAGGGCTAGATGTCTTGGGATGATTTTAAGGCCTAAACTTAGAAGTAGCTTACATCGCGTCTTTTAAATCTTATTGGCCAGAACTGATTCTCATTATCCCAAATAGCTATGTGCTTTTTTATATTTCCCAGCCTCACATGACTGGAATCTCTGTCACAGTTCATCCTTCTAGTCTGAATAGCTCTTTGCTTCCTTCTCCCCACACATATAACACAATTCCTTCCCTAGGGAAAATCCCAAAGTCCTATTCCATCACTGTAACCAGCCCCAACTCCAAGATCTCCAGATGATATATAGAATTATCGGTCAGATTTAGATGTGATTTCTCTGGGATATTTGAATTATCAATGAACTAAGAAGGCAAGTTAACTGTATCCCTTGTCCCCTTACCACCCCCCCCCCCCCCCCCCATTGTTCAGTGGTGGAATTTCAGACAGCGCAGTCACTAGTTCTTGGCAATTCTGAAATTGTGGTTCAGTATTACAAAGACTCCTAACCCTTGTGTATAGGGAGTTACTTGAATGGACACTGATTGTGTTTTCTGAAAGTAACATCTTTGTTTATTATTCTTCCTGGCCCCTAGCTCTATCCAGGGGATTGTCTTTTACATTATCAACTTAGACCACTAAAACGGCACTGGGAAGCATGCCCTCTTAGGGTAATACAGCCTTTTAAATCTGCCTCTTGCTCACAGAAGGTTGAGTGCCAGAGATTGTTTTAAGTTCAAACATTCACAGGCTTTTATTGTCTGTATGTTTGGTTTCTTTGACCATCTAGTTCCCACATTTGGTATGCAAAAAAGGAAAATACTTGTTAGGAGTCTATTTGCTTCCAGTCATCCCACATGCATCTGTGCTTTCTATACAGTTACCAAGTTCTCTCCTTTGTCCTCATGCAACTGCCTCTCTCAACTCAGTGGCAGCTATGTGGAGGCCATCTGAAACAGACTCTGTTTTCAAGGCTACCTTCGCTTCAGTCTGATCTTTGACTGAGGGCTGAGACCCTGTTTACTGAGCTTTATTGGGCTTAGGTGTCCAAGAATGCCTTCAGTGTTAACCCTTACTCTTTAGAGACTCAGAAGCAATCTGGTTTTCCAGTCCCGAAAGGTCCTGAATTTTTTTATTCTCTCCATTATTCTTTCTCCTATCAAATCAACCACTTCTGGCCTGAGCTCGTTTCCTAAAGTACTTTCCCAAGGCAGCTAATAGTCAAACACATACTATCACTTTTTTCCAGCTACCTCTCCTAGAACCACAAGCTCATTAGACAGTCTGTTTCCAGGTTATTACTGGCTTTCCCCCCCATGTTTTATCTTCCAATGCCATTGTCCTTGCCTCTAGACTGCTAAGCCAGTGCCATGTGGTTCAACTTTTATTACAGCAGCATTAGTACCACTTCAGAGTACTAATTTCTGTGTTAAGGTAATGTTAGCTATAGTAACAAATTATCCCCCAAATATATAATGGTTTAAACATAAAAAAGTGTATTTATTCATCAGATAACAGTCCTGAGCAGTACCAGGTCAGGGGTGGTGATGGGGGATAATTCTACTCTACTCAGTCATTCATGGAGTACCAGGTCAGGGGTGGTGATGGGGGATAATTCTACTCTACTCAGTCATTCATGGACTGTTAGGTTGACAGAATCTGCTATTTTGAACACAAAGCTGAAACTAAAGCTAAGTAATATACCTAAAATTATACAGCTTGTCAGTAGAGTGTCCAGGATTCTCACCACTTGGTTCTGGTTTCCAAGCCTATCTAGGTTTAAAAAGATATCTGAACCAACTACCCAGGCAAAGTTTGTATCCTGTCTCTGTTATCTGGGCCAAGTGGTAAACTGGTGATTGCCTAACACATTTAATTGCTGGGAATACATTAGCTCCTTATATTGAGCTGAAGGTGTTTCCCTGTAACTTCTTTCTAGGGCTTCTTCGATTTCTTGGGGCCTTGCAAATAAACATTATTCCTTGCCTGGCTGGTGTGGCTCAGTGGTTGAGCATGGATCCATGCACCAAAAGGTTGTCGGTTCGATACCCAGTCAGGGCATATGCCTAGGTTGTGGGCCCGATACCCAGTGGGGGGCATGCAGGAGGCGGCCAATTGAAGTTCTCTCTCATCAGTGTTCTCTCTCATCGATGTTTCTATCTCTCTCTCCCTCCCCCTTTCTAAAATCAATTTAAAAAATTAAACAAAACATTATTCCTTTATCACTCTGTGAAGACCACTTTCATACTCTTTCTGGTCATTTTGAGTGAAACTTCACCTGTTCTTTCACTTATACCTTAAGATTTTGAATAGTGGTTCCCTATCTTTAGACAGTCTCTGCTTTGTCTAAGTCCCTTTAAAAAAATTTTTTTTTCTTTATTGATTTTAGAGAGAAAGGAAGGGATAGGGAGAGAGAGAAACATCCATGAGAGAGGACATCAGTTGGCTGCCTCCTGCATGCCCCTCACTGGGGATTTGGCCCACAATATGGGCATGTGCCCTGACTAGGCATCGAACTGATGACCTCTTGGTGTACGGGTTGATGCTCAACCACTGAGGCACTCCAGCAGGCTTAAGTCCCTTTTATAGTGTGAATGCCAACGCTGAACTAGATTTTTAGTGTGAGGTCTAACTGAATGGATATACCTCTGCAGACAAGATTTATCTACTAATGCATGTTTGTTTTCCTAGGGTGATACAATTCTGGAGACTGGAGAAGTAATTCCACCAATGAAAGAATTTCCTGATCAACATCATTGAAGATTAATTTAAAATTTCAAAGGCATATAAGCCCAAGTTTTAGTGCTACATTACCATATTTACTGAATATATTTTCTGGAAAAGTAACTTTAATAAAGTTTACTCTCAGATATGTGTTGTCTGTTTCTTCCCAAACACTATACAATTTAAGACTCTGAGTTATTTATTTTTTTTATCCTCACCCGAGGACATTTTTTTCCATTTTTTGTTCAGATAGAGTGGGGAGAGAGAGGAAGAGAGAGAGAGAGAGAGACACCGACGTGAAAGGGACACATCGAGTGGCTGCCACCAGCACAGCCCTGCACCAGCACAGCCCTCCACATGACCCAACCAGGGCCGGAAACAAACTGCAACCGAGGTATGTGCCCTTAGTGGGAACCAAACCCAGGTCTCTCTGGACTGCAGGCTGACACTCTAACCGTTGAGCCAAACCGGCCAGGGCTAAGAGACTCTGAGTTATTTAACAATTAAGTAAAAATTGGACATACAAAAATGATATGAGTGATCACCATCTTCTGGCCATTCTTGATTTGGGAAACAAGATGTAGAAAAATAGTCATACGATAGTTTTGTTTTTTTTTCTTGCACAGTACTCAATCTAGTCTATTGTGAAGGCATGCAACAGAATGAAATGTTGCAATAAACAAATATAAGACTAGAAATTCCATACACTTTTTTTTTAAAATCCTCACCTGAGAGTATTTTTCCATTGATTTTCAGATAGAGTGGGAGGAAGAAGAGGAGAGAGAAACATCATGAGAGAGACACATTGATTGGTTGCCTCCCACACAACCCCAACTAGGGCTGGGAATGTAACCACAACAGGTACATGCCCTTGACCAGAATCCCACCTGGGACTCTTTGGTCCATGGGCGGACACTCTACCCACCGAGTCAAACCAGCCAGGGTCACACATTTTTATTTTAAAAGTGGCTTTCTGAGGCATTTAAAAAAGTTTTTTAGAAATTGTAAATAGAAAAGCATGTCATTCCATCTATGATCTGATACTCAAAAGCTGTCAGATGTAGGTTGCTTTGTTATATGAGAATTTAAAAGTATTTGAAAAGTTAGCACATTAGTGATTTATTATAAAGGACTGTATGCAAAAATAAATTTGGAAACTTTGTATTATGGATTTTACTTTAAATCTAGATACGTGTCAAATAAGCAAGCGGTAAAGTATTTGCATAGAATAAAATCTAGAGGAATTACAAATTTTCATTCATTCATTCTCGAAGATTTTGTCTGGGTATTTCTTCTTTAGCTGTCGTCGAGCGACTACAGTCGATGCATAGATGACATATCCCCAGGAAAGTAACACGATCGCGAGGAGCAACTAAAAAAATTAAAATGCAAAAGGGGAAGCAAAAGCAAAAAACTCACTGAGTTGTACTTCCTCCCCACACCCCACTGGTTGCCACGTACGTTGCTAAGGTGGAAATCACAGTGACAAACGAATAAATGGGATTCCGGAGGCCAGCCCACCCAAGTGTCCTTACGTAAGAAGCGGAAGGGCGTGTCCCCCAGGAAGAGGCGGAGTCGAGATGAGGGAGTGAAATGCTTAATTCAGGAATGGGTTTTAGAGTTTCGGTGCGCTGAAGAAACACGGGGGTTTCCTCCCGCGGGCCCAGGGAGTCGACACCGTGGAGCCTTGCCAGACCCGGGACCTACCACTGAATAAATCCAGTCTAGGGTGCGGCGACTCACTGGCTTCATGGTAAGGAGGCGACGGCGGTCCGCGGGAACGGGCAGGACCTGCAGGCCCTAGAGTAACCTCCCGGGCGGCGGCTTTCGGGCGGTGGCGGCGGTGGCGGCCATTTTACATCCGGGCACGAATGCCCGCCCACTCGCCTCCAGGAGCGTTTTCCGCTGGCCGGCCGGCCTCTTCCGCCCGGAGTGGGGGCGGGCTTACGTGATCGCGGGCCTAGCCCGCCTTCCAGGGAGGGGATTAGACAAATGAGAAAATATTTTTAAATGGGTTTTTTTTTTTTTGCCGCTTAGAGAGATAGGCGTACCTCGTCACCTGGTTCTGCCAGCTGCAGTGCAATGTTAATTATACAAGGTAATGTACCGTCGTAATACAAAAGTTTATTTGAAAAACGAGTCTGTTTTAAATATCACACCGGCGTATGACAACGCTGGAAGAAGTAACGTTCCCTCCCGCATCGGTGCCCACATCATATTGATAGGCTTTCGTATATTCATCTTTACACAAGCAGTACCACCCACTTTTCTGTAACAGTGACGAATCCTTGTGGGAATCCTGCTCACTGAGCCCTCCTTCAAGAAACAGGTCTTTCATAGCAGTGGCGTGTTGGTGTCCGTGGATTTCTGAGAAGGAACGTGGCACCAGCGCCCCGGCGCAGCGCCCCTGCCAATCAGCAAGTGCTTTCTGAGCGTTTCCTGCGTGCTCGGGACCTGGGCACGTCTGGCTCGAAGCTGACGGCCGTTTGGCGCGCGGGCGGGCGAACAGGTTCAGCCCCGAACGTGCGAGGCGCTCACCTCCGAGGCCAGAGTGTCGCCCGGGCTGGGGGCCGCTGCGGGCCCAGACGCGCCCTCTGTACATCTCAGGGATCTAACAACAGGGTTTGAATCCTGACTTCGGGGAGTGGGGAGGGGAAACGCAGTCTCGAGAGGGAAACGTTGTTCTGCTAAGATTTCAGCGCTACTGTTTGTCTGACTGGAGTAGAGCTCCCTCTCTTAAGACGTGGGATACTGACTGGGCTCTGGCTTCGGACTGTGTTCGCATCTCGGTGTTCTTTCCTAGGAGGTAAAGTCACTTCACCCGCGTGTACCTCAGTTCCTTGAGACCCTCGAGATAATTTTAGTAACTTCTCGCAGAGTTTGGGGAGGTTTAAATGAGACTAAGCTAGTTACCGTGTTTTCCTGGTAAGTTAGGATCGAACATTTTAGTGCCTTTGTATCCCCCAGAGATTAGTAGTAATAAGAATGATGGTGGTAATAGCGACTTCTGTCTTCTCGGGAGGGTCACGCCGCTCTCCTTCCAGGAACGCGGCGGTTGCGGGGGGCGGGCCGAGCGCGCTAAACCCTGCTCTTCGTGCTGGCGGCTTTCTACTGCGCATGCGTTACGCAGGCGGGTGTTTTGTTTTGACGCGCTGGGGGCCCGTGGGGTGGATTTGGCTCGTTCCGCCGCCTCCAAGCTGCCATTGGTGATGAGCGCTTTACGTCACAGGGGTCGCAACAGCCGCCGGGGTCTCCGCTGTCTCGCGAGGAGGGTGAAGCGCCCCCGCATGCTCCCGCTCCTGAGGGCCTGCGGAGAAGTCGCCGGGTACGCCTTCGCGGATCCTGCCGTCACCGACCTGGCTTCCTAGGCCGCCGGGAGCTTGCCACTAGTGCCCCAGCCCGGCATTCACCGACATTCTCCGAGGTCAGTGAGATCGGGAACAATGGGGCTCGGAGGTCGGAAGGGCTGGGCCAGTTGGAGCTCCCATCTGGAGCGAGGCCCATAGACTAGGGAGCTGAGAGGCCATCCGGGCCTCGGCGGGACAGGGTGGGCAGACGGCTCCTGAAGCGCACCGCACCGCACCGGTGGATCTGTGTGGGTGGGCGGGGAAGGGCAGCGTTTTTCAAGAAGGTCGGGGGCGGGGGCTGTGAGCCTATCGGTGTACTGGAAAGATCTTGGTCTGGGGTGGGGGGGCAGCAACCCAACCCATAACGTTGGAGTCTGGATGGTGGCATCTCTACTGTTAGAGTTGTGAACTTGGATGGATTTTCTAACCTGTCTGAACCTGCCTGTAAAATGGGAATAACAATATTTTAGTTCGTTGTGGTTATATAATGCACATGGTGGTTGTCTTAGGTCCTGGATGATGGCAGTTCCCGACCAAAGGATCTGTCACCATGATTGTTGGAGTTGTCTGAAGAGTGCTGCTGTACACTGTGGGCTGGGCTCATCCATTCAGTCAGTGTAGTTTTCCTCGTGGGTTGCAGATTACTGCACCGGAAGGGGGCAGTACTGAGATGAGGCAAATAGTGTTTAAGGGGAAAAGTGAATAGAAGTTCAAGATTAAGATAAATTAAGAAAGAGCTACCCAAGATTTAAGTTAGTAGTGGTGAAGGTGGGTGGGTTTTGTTTGTTTTTAGTCAGTGACATGCAAAGCTATACAGTCAGCCTAAACAAACATGGTTGTCTGGAATGAGTGGCTTCTTTTTATCCTGAGTAGATCCTATAACTTCCATATGATCTTTTGGAATTGGTTAAATTATAGTTCAGAGAGGTACAGTGATTTCTTTATTTTCCTGTAACATAGGGAAACGGTATTCACTTTTTAATGCACACTAAACACTATCCTAAGTATTTTCGTGGAATATATCTCTTCACACAGCCACCTTTTCAGGTGGTACTGTTACTTAAAGTTTTTTTTTTTTTCCCCTAAATATGTTTTTATTGATTTTTGAGAGAGGAAGGGAGAGAGAGATAGAAACAACGTGAGAGAGAAACATCAATTGGCTGCCTCCTGCACGCTCCCTACGCGGGATCCATACTGCAACAGGGCATCCTCTGATCGTGCAACAGGGCATGTGCTCTGATGGGGAGTGTAACCTGGACCTCTCAGTCCATGGGATGACGCTCAACCCACTGAGCTACACTTGCCGAGCTACTTAAAGTCTTAAGAAATTAAATAACTTCCTTCAAATCATACAGCTTTTAAGTGGTTTTGATTCTCAGCCCTGGTTAGAATTAACATCATTCCTACAAATGTAATCTGAAGCTTTGGGGAAGGGGAAGATTGATTTAATAAGTTTATCCTAAAGATGGTAAACTTTATTTAGAATTTTGAAGGCAGTTAGGGAAATGGGATCCAAAGAACTGATTACTCTTCTCCCAATGGGTAAATGAATTTGGAGTCCTAGTTCCTAGAGAGATAGGGGAGAGAAATCTTTATTACAAACTTCTGGAACCCGAAGCACTAAATTTACTCCTAGGCCCACCTTTGTTGCCTAAACCCAGAATTCCTATGAACCGTAATGTCTCTAGTCATTCCTCTTTTATGCCTTACTTTGTGTTTTTTAAATAGCTGTGTTGAGGTATAATTTACATTTCATTCATCCATGATAAAATTGAACATTTTCATCATCCCAGAAAGAAACCTTATAATCCTCCCAACCCCCAGCAACTACCAATCTACAGGAGTGGGCAAAAGTAGGTTTCAGTTGTGAGTACATGAAATATACTTTACCCTTGTATTATTTATTTATTATTGTAATATTTTCCTTTTTTTTTTTTTTTTTTTGTACGTGCCCCTAGCTGGAACCGAACCCGGGACTCTCTGGTCCACAGGCCAACGCTCCCAACTGCTGAGCCAAACCAGCCAGGGCTGTATTATTTTCCATATGAACAACTGTAAACCTATATTTGCCCAACCCTGTACTTTCACATCTATAGATTTCCTTGTTCTGGACCTTTCATATAAAGGACATCATGCAACAATGTGTTCTTTTGTGACTGGTTTGGTTTTTTTTCATTTAGCATAATGGAAAGATTCATCCATGTTGTAGGGTGTATCAGTACTTCATTCCTTTTTATTGTCAAATATTCATTGTATGGATATATACATTTTTTTTTTTTTTTAATCCTCACCCGAGGACATTTTTCCATTTTTTACACAGACAGAGTGGGAGGGAGAGAGAGGAAGAGAGAGAGAGAGAGAGAGGGAAACATCGATGTGAAAGGGACACATCGAGTGGCTGTCACCTGCACGACCAACCAGGGCTGGGGACAAACTGCAACCGAGGTACATGCCCTCAGCGGGAACCGAACCCGGGTCTCTCCGGACCGCAGGCGGATGCTCTAACCGCTGAGCCAAACTGGCCAGGGCTGGATATATACATTTTATTCATCCTCCCCAGTTGATGGACATTTGGGTTATTTCCACTTTTGAGCTTTTATGACATGTGGCTATGAATATTCATTTACAAGGGTTTGTGTGGACATATGTTTTCATTTCATTTGAATAGATAGGTGTGGGGTGCCGGTCAGGGCACACACTCAGGTTTCTGGCCTGATCCCCAGTTGGGGGCATGCAGGAGACTGCCAGTTGATGTTCTCTCTCATTGATGTTTCTATCTCTCTTTCCCTCTCTCTGAAATCAATAAAGTAAAAAAAAAAAAAAAAAATTTTAAGCAAATATTTTAATTTTAGTACTGAGTAATGATTTTGAAGAAGTAAATTCTTTGATGATTTATATTCATTGACATTGGTGTTTTGCATGAATGCCATTTTTTTTAACATATATATTTTATTGATTTTTAGAGAGAGTTGGGGAGAAGGAGAGAGAGATAGAAACATCCATGGGCTGCTTCCTGCATGCCCCCTACTGGGGATCAAGCAGGAAACCCTCAGGCATGTGCTCTGACTGGGAATCGAACTTGTGACCTTTTGATGCATGTGTCCATATGCAACCACTGAGTCACACCAGGCAGTTAAATGCCATTCTCTGTAGCTAAAGACATTCCTGGGTAGAAATATAAAACAACTCTAATTAATTTATTCTTTACCTACTATGGATGACATTATTGGACTTTCTTTAGGCTTAGGCTGTCAACATGATTAGCAGGCTTATAAAACTAGGGGAGACTAAGATACCTTTTTTTTTTTTTTTCCAAATTCTCACCCAAGGATATTTTATCATTTATCTTCAGATAGAGTGGGAGGGAGGTGGGAGGGAAAGAGTGAGAGATAAACATTGATTTAAGAGAGAGATACGGATTTGGTTGCCTCTGGCACAACCCTGACCAGGGCTAGCAACTGACGCACAACTGAGGAATGTGACCTCGACCAGAATCGAACCTTGCAACTCTGGTCTGTGGGCCAGCGCTCTAACTGATG